ACGCCAAGGACCAAGTAGTCAAACACGTCACCCACGCGGCCCTCGCGGCCCTCGCGTTGCGAAAGCCTCCTACCTCTTGTGAATGCGACACATTCCGTGATCCATGCACGAATAACCTGCAGCGCGCCTGCGACATATGCGTCGTTTTCATCTTGGCCTTACACGCAACTGTGGGGGGGGGGGGAGAAAGTAGACCAAGTATCAGGAGCATCGCTGGGTCGACGTAAAAGCCGAAGCGGTCCATCTTCGATGGCACGGAGGGAGGGTATAAGATAATTCCCATAGGGGTGAGTTGGCGGTACTTCTCTGGGCGCTCCGTGTAGGGTTGGGTACGGGTTGGAGAACGCCCGACGTGTTCTGACTCCAGGATTGCGAGTTTGTGAAGCAGGACTAGATGACTAGGAAGAAGCTTTCGCCTTGCCGAGTCTGCATTCGTTCGAAAGGAACTTGCAGCGGGTGCATCATCCTCTTTCATCGTCGGACGAACCCGAGTCGGAATCACTGTCGTCGTCGTCGTCGTCATCCTCCTCCTCCGTGTAGTCCGAATCGGAGGTATCCGAATCAGAGGTGCCCGAGTCTGAACGACCGTCATCACGACCGTCATCGTCGCCAGCTATCATTTTTTTCGCATCAGTTGGTCCGGGACTAGCTATAAGATAGAGAGAGACGTCGTTATCTCACCTATCGCCCGGACAGAATCTGCGGGAGAGGGAGGCCGGATGATGACCTCTGGTAGCGGACGAAACGTTGGAGCAGGCAGGGTCTGGGACAGCTGAATACTCGGGCCCAGGGACTGCGCGTCCTCGGCAGAATCACGCTGCCGCTGCCACGCATGATACGTATCGAGCGACACATCTCCGGTAGACATAAATTCGGTGTGATCGGAACACGGTTCGATAGCTGACACGGCATGGCACGAGAAGTCAAACTGAGGGGTGGCAGTATCAGGGAGGACATTAAAGGTAAGTGTCTCTGTCGCATTGGGGGCCTGGAGTAGCGGAACAATATGGTACTGCGAGACAGAGGCCAGCGTAGCCGGTGGTTGATAACGAGTCCACTCGGGGGCATATGGAACTGCTGGGGCAGGTTGTTCGGTTGCTATGGGTTGAGGTGGCGGCAGCGAGGTCCCTGTCGGGGTGCTTGCGGACGGAGGTGCCATTATACATTCTAGCTCAGGCGGGGCATGTGGAGAGGAGCAACCCGAGGATGAGAACCGTGATGCATCGCTAGGGAACCAGGACTGCGGTGCGTCAGCGGACTGTCCATTTGCAAACTGATGCAGTGGAGGGCGGAACGAGGAAAATGCAGGTGGTGTCGATTCCAGGGATGAGGAAGTGTATTGTTCCTGGGCCAGCGGCCTGTGCAGTCTTTCGAGCGTAGGTAGTTGTGGGCAGTCAAGGTCCATGCGGTCTGACACCTGCTGCTGCTGGAAATCCTGGAAATTCATCATGTCCAAGTCTGTCTCGATACATTCGGACAATAGCTCCGAGGCGTTCGACGGTGCCGGAACCGTAGACTGGGGATTGTAAACGGAGAAATGCTGTTTCTGGTAGGATGGTTCTGTGCGAGAAGTGGGAAACTGGGTATAATGGGGTGGAATGGGCTGTTGCTCCTGCCCGCCGGAGATAAAAAACCGAGGGCGCATCACAAATGAGGGTTTTGACGGCTGCGACTCATAGTGAAGCTGCGCATTCTCCGGTCGTTGCGTGGATTGTGTCTGCTCGATAGCTTCGCATGTTCGCGACAGGTATTCGACCCTCATAGAAGGTGGGGCCGATCCACTCGAGAAGCTCTCACGCTGTTCTAAAGCATTAATGACATCGGGCGAGGAGATCACAGAGCCACAGGTCGCAGATGTGGGCGAGGATATTGAAGATATTGAAGCCGATGGTGTTGAGTGGGGCAGGGGATTGAAATTGATGTTAGTGGTGCGTGCAGAAAGTGCTCTTGTCTTGATGTTGAACCGGCGACGTAGGACAGGCTTGCGAGGAGGAGGATAGTGAAATAGTATCCCTACAATCCGAGAGAGGTTCTTCAAAATAGGGGATGATGCTCTATTAGGGAGTCAACGTCCGGCGAATAGGCAAGTCGAAGGACGTACCCGGAGCCACTTTTCACCCATGGCGATGACGAATAAGCGCGTGGAGGGGAAATAAAGGTCTTTCGGGTCAGAGGGGTATTCGGGGGGCTGAAATAAAATAAGATGGAATTTTGGCACACAAAGACGACCGTCTTACGCTTCTGCCTCGCCGTGGAGGATGGCTTCAGAACTTGGGGCACGATTGTGGTCTAACTCGAAGCGGACAGTACGGCGCGATGAGGATGCTTTCTGTCCGGCACGGCGCATCTGTAGAGGCGTGCCTCCCTCGCACTTCGAGGTGAAAGGCGGCATGTCGGCCTGGCACTCTTTCCCCTCATGGAAAAAAACCGGATCTACGGAAGCAAAAGGATGAGCAGGGGTCTTCTAATGACTCCGCATTGACTCACTGTAATCATTTCCCATAACGCCGTTGATGAAGTCCGCCACAAACCGGAATGAACGCAGAGCATTCAGGATGGGGGTCCACGTGTCTGGCCAAGAGCCCGTCGCTTGCGCAGGCTGCACGTAACGCATCTCGAACCAACACTCGACAGTCCCGAGGAAAAGGTCGCGAGCAGGACGGAAGAACATGTTTTCGAGTATCGACGTGACAGGAAGCGCAAGCACAAAAACGAGAATACGGAGGGGGGCACTGAGTTCGAAGGGCCTCATGTCATCCGTGCCCGCGGCACCACCCGATGTGTACACCACGTAGACATCGTTCGGGTGACCATAGACGGGATAGTACACGGCCTCAGGATGGGCGGGGCCTGAGGGGACCCAAAGCGGCAGAACAACCATACTACAGAACACCAAATAAGGAAGTAGACGGAGTGTCAAACTTAACGCTGTGATGAGCACGCCGAAGAGGGCAACGCCCAGAGGTGGGCGGGGAGCAGAGCACAGGACGGCAAGCATGCCGGCGACTGGGTTCGGGGTGACGAAGGGGAAATGAAGAGAAGTGGTCATTTAAATAAACCTTAGAAACCGAGTGCCAAAGCGATAAAATTGCGGTGGACCAAGCGAATGGTGACGGAACCAGCCACGCCGTTGCGTAGCATAATCTCTTATCCACAATGCAAGGGGATTTAGGCTGTGGACATGATCGGAGTTGGAGTCGTCATCTCGCCCTGTATATAGTAAAAGGGAGGAACAGAGGGCAGGGACCCGTTGTCCAGCTTGACGTCGTTGAGCAAGCGCTTGTGCTTCTTTATATCCGACCGTTCATTGTGCCGTTCCACGATGTTCGAATATAATAAAGTCAATGACTGGGTTCGAAATTAACGCCTGGACAAGTTCGTCAAAGGGGAACAAGGTGGCACAAACTTACCTCAACGGGCTTATTGTGGGACTGCAATGGCACTACTCTGCTCATCATCCTGTAAAGCACCCATGCCAGTCTGGCGAGAACCATGGATATATGCTGCTGTACTTGGCTAGAAACCCTGCACACCGAGGTGTAGCGACAATCGAGTGGCAATTAATCCGGCCCCTGGGTGCTAGTCCAGTTGTGGCATGAGATGGCGGTGTCAGTTGTGGAGGCGTGGAGGTCGTGCCGGGGACGTCCGGGCCGAGTCGGTTTACCGGAACCCAACCCCTAAGCGCCTACTTCCGCCAGTCAACGGCGGTCAACGGTGCTTTAAATTCGGAACGAACGCCAGACCGCCACCAGCACGAATTTGGGCTCTATTTTACTCCCTACCAACTACCCTCCCCATTCCTCTCTCCAAGACCCCAACACCAGCATGCCCGTACATCGCCACCCCTCAATTGTTCGTTCACATGCACCAGGCCCCTACAAAGCGTCGATCATCGTGATCTCCTCCGACGAAGACGAGGATCCACTGCCACCACCCAAACGCGGTTCGCGAAGGCCCAGGCGCTCGGGAGCGGAAGGCGAGGTACTCGAAATATTAGACGACACATCCATCAAGCACGAAGAGCCAGAAATGGAGAGCTTACGACGACGATGTCACGAACTTGAGCAGGCATGTTCCCCTCATTACAGCATAAACCCCCAATAAATGTGCTTCGTCACAAACTAGGAACGGGACCTGTTGCAGAAGGACAATGGACACTTATCAGCTGCCATGAACAAGTTGAAAGCAAACACAAAACCGAACACTGTCAGTGCACTCTTTCTCCCGGTTATTATCCCTTCTCACCGGTAGTCTGTAGTTAAGTATTTCCGCATTAGAAGATGCCACCTGTTGCGAGGTCTGCACACAGACCATGTGGGCGCCTTATCTGTGCGTCCCCTAGTGCACCCACCCCTGGCAGTTGAAAGTTAATTTCGCATTTATCCCGTAGTCTTACCAATTGCGGTCATACATTTTGCGAGGGTTGTCTCACCGATTGGTTCAACACAAACCTCACTCACCACCGACAGATCGTCGGCCGTGGCCCACTCCCTTACACTTGCCCCTCCTGCCGTCTCCCCGTGCACATGCCTCCCGTTCAGAACTTCTCTCTCAAGCGTATTGTCCGGCTTGCTGCGGAGTCCCGTGGCGAATCAAGTCCTCAGAGACCACAGCCACCACCGCCACCTGTGCAGCCACCGCGTGCGCGTGGCGGGTCGCGCCGAAATCACCCTTCTGGTCCATTTGACGTCTTCTTTTGGAGATAGATTCGTCCTCTGTTTTCGTCTCTGTTATGTTTCCCGAAGTATGTTTGGAGTATTGGTATTTATGATCTGGTTGGATTGCGTGAATTGAACTCGGGTCTCCTCCTGCAGGCCCGAAGTGTACGTATGATAATCATTATTAACCTGCTTCACTGCTTCATAATACATCTACGCCACCCCCAGAGTTATGGTTGGGGCTGTTTTACCTACTATTCTACCATGTAGTTATATCATCCCAGCCTAGATAGTGAAGCATTTCGGCAGCATTCTAGATTTTGTACATTTCAAGAACTAATTGTCCTTGTCGATTAGTGGTTAAATCACGACGTTGTGGTCTGATGACGATACCGTCGAGCCGCTGGTTCGATTCCAGCCTGGGACAAAATATCTACATGCTGCTAGAGTCATGACTGATTTTAGTGTTGCCACGTGACTGCACCAATCAACCTTTTATCCTCCTTCCTAGCAGCAGAGGGGTATTAGCGGGGTGGGCATGGTACCCTTCTTTTTTGAGGGAAAAGTGTACATCAGCAGACTGCTCGCCTTGCTGTGACAATGGCGGTGTCGACATGACCAAGAAAGGTAAACATGGCATCAAGTAGCATGAATTGCCTCGACGATCTGCCCGAGCTACGATATAGTCAAAGGATTACTAGTAAAGGCTCTTGATCTCACGCGGGACTCCCACTCCACCCGGTGAACTTCCACCAGCGGAAATCACTCTATCGCCGCCTGCACTCGTTAAAATGCTCATCTGCTCTTCCTGTCTAGTAGCGCAATGCCCCCCGCCCCCGTTCCTGCCTCTGTCACCTTGATCTTCTCGCTATTGACTTTTCGGGCTGTCCTTGCTCAGACGTATACTGCTACCTATTTTCCGTCGAACACCTTACCGGCCCAGTCTGAACAAGGGCAGTCCGGTTCGAACCACTGTGGGCCGGCGTTCAACCAGACTTCTCGATGCCAGAACGCTTACAGTACGTGGAGAAGAGAGAGGTCCGGTCCGCTCGTGATATTGATAACCCATTCAGTAAACTCGCTCGAAGACTTTTGCCTCTTTGCACCCCCGATTGCTTACCCCGAGTCCGTCGTCGGGGATACGGAAGCAAGTTTTGATTCTCCGCTTGCTCTTGGAGACGATGCTCACGGACAAGAACCCAGCTGATCGTAGTATCGTGGTGTACCAAGGCAAGCTAATTTACAGAGCTTCCTCCTCAACTTGACTAACCACCACCGTTTCTACTTGATGCCACAGCCCGGCTACGGCACACGGGTTATCCCAGATGGCACTATCACTGGGGCCCATTTTGTCAAGACGCCAGACTACGTACAAGTCACAGGTATTCGTGCCTCACTTTCTCTGGATCGCGTTTCTTTTTTTTTTCTTTTTTTCATGATATTTCTCTACGGCTCAGGGGTAGGAGACTTGACAAAGATCAATATTCCAGCGGGTGACGAGGGTGGGGAATTGGATCCACACGGTGCTGACGGCAAAGGTGAGAACCTCATCTGTTGTCTCCAATCCTAACAGATGGGCACACCTCGCTGAGAGCTCTTGGTCTAGGCGACCCGATTGGCGGCCTTGTCTTCTCCAATGCCTTCACTGGCCCGGGGCAGTTCGTCCAACTGCATGAATGGACTGTACGTCCTTTTCTTCCTCACCCCTGTCTCCCCCTCCAAGGTCACACAATTTTCGTTCGCGGCGCTAGAATTTCGTTTTTGCCACGGGATTCTGTTTCCGAGGGTGCAAGGATGGCCCAAACGCACCTACACTGTGCCAGCATATCTACGACGTGATGGGATGTAGCTGGAACATGCCCGGAAACTACGGGCCCGGCTTCGATCAATGCTTAGGGGACGACGGAGAGGTGGGTGTCTACGAATTGACTTCTCTCTCTTCTCCTCTATTCCATTTCCATCCTCCATCCTCTGATCTCAAATTGCAGCCAATGGGCGTGTACGGTCCCTCAACGTTTTATCAAGGCGAGCCCACTACACCTCCTGCGCACCCGGCGCCAGCGACTTCCTCGTGCACGACCATGTCTACAATCAGCAACCGTCTCCTTGTACCCGGTGTGAGCCCCCAACCTTTTTCCTATGTAAGCGTCCCTTCCTCTTTATATCTCTCCTCCCTCCCTCCCACCCGCGTTGTCGTTCCTCTTCCTTTTCTCTTCTGCTGCTCCCCTGTCCTATATATGTACTGGTACCCGCACGCCCGAGCTTATCTGCCTTTGTATGGTTCTAGGCAACAAAGCCGACCGGCGGCTTAGGTGCAGGCCACCGAACAAAATCTCGTTCTCATCCCACGACGACATCGAGAAGAAACAGTGCGCCTGTTGACGCACGCCTCCCTGCTATGCATACTTTCCTCATTTCATTTTGTGTTGTCCTGAGGGGTATGACTGCTGTCTGAAGGCCCCACCCCCCTTTCTTTTTTTGGGACGAGACGAATGAACGAACGATAACGCATTTCTTACTCCGAAAAGGACACAGACACTTGCGAAGAAGTTCTTTGTCTTTACGTCACAACACTGATTGTACTCGTATCTAACGTACTGAACACGAGATTATTGTCTCTGTGGCGTCTGTTGTATGTGTCGTGTATCGGACTGTGCCCAGCAGAGAACGTAATGAAGATTTGCTCAGCGTTTGCGTAATGATGTGCCGTCCACGCCATTTCGTCCTCCACTCCTGGAGTCCCGGCAACATTGTATCGAGGGAAAAAGTAGGACAGAGGGGTGGGAGGACAAGGCATTGGGACTTGCACTTAGAGGGGGGACGAACTTCGGCTTGCCTTGCTGCTGCTATGTGGAAGGTGGTAGGCACTGCACAGACCCACCATTCCTGGCCATGATAGAACTAACAAATAAATCAGCAAGGTGCAAATAAAGCATAAAAAGTGAAGAGGGCTGCAGATGTTCGACAAGGGCAGGTGGAAGAGGTCCTTTTGCGCGCCGTGTGGGGCAGGGTGGCGGGAAGGCGAGAGCTGACGGCCACAACGACAACTCCAGGGGGGTGAAGGCGACGGACGGAAAGGAAAAATGAATGGGGCCATAGTAAATAAGTCCAGTCTGAGAGCTGTGAAATGTGTGAACGTGAACCGCAAATGACAGGTAGTAAGGCACAGTACCAGTACCGAGGGCAGCGGCCAACCTTTTCAAGGCTGCCATCCAGGGCCTGTGCTTACCAATCACACTCAGCAGGGGCCCCCAAGAGCGATGTGTCAGCCAACGGGGGAAAATGGGGCAAACGAGATATCATATTCGACTTCAACAACCCCCAGCACTCAGCTACTCAGCAAGCGAGCGGGGCAGGCAAGTTTTGGCGCGTTTTAGTTTTAGCGCGCGTGCGTGGGGTCTGTGCCGCATTGTTTGGCCCTATTGTGACCCCGACATCTCCCCCGCCGCCATGGCCGAGGCGCGTGACCGGGCCGGCGCCCGCCCGCCAGACGGAAAGGAGAGACTGGCAACGGCGCAACGGCAGCAGTAGAGTCGCAAAAGGAGGTCAAACCGGGCAAGACGACCAGCGTGGGATTGAGCAGGGGGGCAATGTTCAGTGGTTGAAAACAAGAGATCTTGTTTCAAGAGAAAAAGGGTAAAAAGGAAACGATGAGCGTGGGTTCAAGTTTTCCCACGCAGCAGCGCACCACCCCGGCGTGTCGTCGTAAGGGTGTGGGCAGCAGGGGCGACGGCGACGGGCGACTGCATTGCTGCATCCTCATGTGCGCCTGTGCGCGCGGCGCTACCGGAGACAGGCAGAGGCAGGTGTCGCAGTATAAGGATGGACGAGGAGGAAGGGGCGGAGGCGGAGGCGGTCGACTCGGATGGCGGGACGACGCGCACGGCGTCACGTGGGAACACGCCCGCCGCGCGCAGCGGCCTGCATTCGCGAGGACCATCCCGCGCCTGGGCGTCCCGCACACTGCCTGGGAATCGGGATCGTCTCACGGAGGGTGCCGAGGATATCTGGGGGCGGAGTGGATTCACCCGGGCCGATGTGCCCTGGACGTCTATCGCCACTGGTGGAGGCGGAGGCCCCTCTCGACTCGACACTGGCGAAAATTTCTGCGTCTTTACATGGCGGGATTGATCGTACTCATATTTAACTGAGAAGTTATTGCCTCGGCCTATGTTGTGTGTCGTGTGGTAGGATGCGTGGGAAGTGTTACCAATTTGGTGAAAGTGTCCGATGAACACAGCGCGCCTTGTCAAAGTCACTCCCTCGAATGTGTTCTCATTATCATAACTTAACTCGCAGGGTGAAAAGGTGCCACTCATAAACCCTTACAGTACTTATAACCATCACCCTCAAAGAAGCACTCCACCGTTATTCTTCCCTTGTTACATCACCATGCAAATCGAGTTGGTTCAGCCCCCAGCTTCCGATGAGCGCAGAAGCCCCAAATTTCACCCCTTATTCTCTTTCGAAGCCGATGTCATTCTTGGCTCGCGCGACGGCATGCTTTTCCGCGTGCCCTCAATGACGCTGAAAATGACTTCCTCCTGGTTCCGCACGATGTTCACCCTCCCGCAAGGTTCCCCACCCGCCCACTCACGGTCGCTGAACAGCAACCAGCAGCGAGACGGCACCACCACCCCGTCCGCCTCAGATACCGAAATCATCAGCCTCGACGAGGACGCGCGCACGCTCGAGCCGCTCCTGCGCATGATCTGCGGGCTCGAAATCCCAACGCTAGACACGTGGGACGCCGTCGAGCCGGTCCTCTACGCGGCGGAGAAATACGACATGCCAGGTCCGGCCTCGATCATCCGCGCGCTGCTGCGCACGCCCGCGTTCGCAGGCGCGCCCATCCGGCTCTACGCCGCTGCGTGCCACTTTGGGTGGGCGGAGGACGCGCGCGCGGCGTCCACGCGCTCGCTCACGCTCAACCTCTTCACGCCCGAGCACCGCCCGCGCTCCTCCGTCTGCGCACGGCCGACCTCCTCGCGCTCATCGAGCTGCACCACACGCGCCGCGCGCAATTCCGCGCGCGCCTCGCCGAGCCGCCCTTCCTCACCGACGTCCTGCTCCGCGACGCCAACGCGGCGCGCTGTACGCGCTGCCGCGAGCCGATTTCGTATGGCGAGTGGCGCGAGCTGCGGTATATGATGTTGAATGAGCTCGAGCGACGTCCCGCCGGGGACACCGTCGTGGCTGGCTTGGAGGATTGGCCGACGGCGCAGGCGTGCTGGTCGGCCAAGTGCAAAAAGACGATTTGTGGAAGCGCAGTGTACGACAAGACGCTCACGTCCAAGGCCATCAAAGATGTGCTGGATTCGCTGCCGAACGCCGTTGAGGTGCCCGTTTATGACACTGCCTAAGTCGAGTCGAGTCGATCGTTAACATGTGGGCATGGTCGGGTGCGTTCTTAAGTATTCTGTATAA